TTTTGGGTCTGAGCAGGATTTTTGGAGGCTGGGCCGGATTTTTGGGGCTGGGCAGGATTTTTTGGTGACTGGGCAGGATTTTTGGGGCTGAGCAGGATTTTTGGGGTCTGGGCAGGATTTTTAGGTCTGGGCAGGATTTTTGGGTCTGAGCAGGATTTTTGGGTCTGGGCAGGATTTTTGGGGTCTGGGCAGGATTTTTTGGGGTTGGGCAGGATTTTTTGGGGCTGAGCAGGATTTTTGGGGTCTGGGCAGGATTTTTGGGGCTGAACAGGAATTTTGGGGCTGGGCAGGATTTTTGGGGCTGAGCAGGATTTTTGGTGGCTGAGCAGGATTTTTGGTGGCTGGCCAGGATTTTTGGTGGCTGGGCCGGACTTTTGGGGCTGGGCAGGACTTTTGGGTCTGAGCAGGATTTTTGGGGTCCGGGTAGGATTTTTGGGTCCGGGCAGGATTTTTGGGGGCTGGGCAGGATTTTTAGGTCTGGGCAGGATTTTTGGGGCTGAGCAGGACTTTTAGGGCTGAGCAGGATTTTTGGGGTCTGGGCAGGACTTTTGGGGCTGAGCAGGATTTTTTGGGGCTGGGCCGGATTTTTGGGGCTGGCAGAGCTCACTCTCCATGCGCTGATGTCCCTGTGCCCCTCTGCCGCAGCCGAGGTGGTTCGGTGCCTGAACAGCGCCCTCCAGGTGGGCTGCGGAGCCTTCGCCTGCCTGGAGAACTCCACGTGCGACACGGACGGGATGTACGACATCTGCAAATCCTTCCTCTACAGCGCTGCTAAATTCGACACTCAGGTACGGCCCGGGCACCACGGGAATCCAACCCGGCCGGGAATGAATCAAACCCGGCCGAGAATCAAACCCGGCCGAGAATAAAACCCGGCCGAGAATAAATGGGAGCCGCCTTTTCATGGCCCGGACAAGTCCTGCGGGCTCTGAAGCACGTGCAAGGCGCTCTGCTCAGAGCCTGCCTCAATTTAAGCTGTGCTTTGGGCAGGATTAACCCTCCCCTCCCTGCAGCCCTTCCTGCTGCTGCTCTCAGCCCCACTTCTGGCTCCAGGGCTCTTTTTCCACCCGCTCGCTGCTCCGGGTGAGGACTTGGCACGGAGGGTTCCGAGGGGTGGAGAGCGAGGTTTCCTCTCCAGGAGGAAATAGAAATGTTCTTCTAACAAAATAAATCTCCTGGCTGTGTGACCTGGCACAGGGCTGGGCTTTGGCTTGGAAGTGTTCGGGTCTGGGAATGCACGGCCAGGCTGGGATTGCAGGGAGAATAAATGGGGTAATATTGGAGGGCTGGGCTCTGCCAAAATCCCGTTCCCTTTGTGCTTTCCTCCCAAAATCCACACAGCCCCTTGTTCCCCGTGCTCCCAAGGAGAGATTTAAAAGCTCGTAAAGGCTCTTGAGGTCTGAACCAGGAGTGTTAAACTGCTGGCATTACATTGATGTTGATCTGTGGGGCAGAGCTGCTCCATCTCTGGTCCTGGCACTCCCAGGCTGAAGATTCCCAATGCCTAAATCCTTTGGGAATGGGAGTTCAGAGCATCCCGACTGCTGAGAGTGACAACTCTGCAGTAATCGGGAGCATTCAAATCCCATTCCCTGCACTAATTGCAGGAGGGTAATTAGCACAGCCAGGCCTGGTGGAGTATCCACAACACTTCTCCTTCCTTTGGATTCTGTTAAAAACAGGTTAGGAACTGCTGTAAAATAGTTGATAGATCGTTAGTGTGGTTTGGTTATTCTATTGTAAGAGGGGTTCAAAGGGCAGTTGTAGGAAATCCGGTACTCGAGGTACCATAACACACCTCAGTAAATGCGCCACGAGCCAGCCTGGACAGAGCTGCAGTGGCCAACTGGGGCCTGAAACCTTCATGTAAACGAAGGATCCAAACAGAAACCAATCCAAAGGGACAGAAAACAGGATAAAAAGGGGTTTCTGACCCGCTGAATTGTGCTGCTCCATCTGGAGCTGCTCAAGGAGCAGCAGCATCCTTGACGGGAATGCTCCTGCTCCATTTCCTGCCCCATTCCCCTTCTCATTCCCCTTCTCATTCCCATTCCCAGCCCCATTCCCTGCCCCATTCCCTGCCCAATTCTCATCCCCTGCCCCATTCCCAGTCCCATCCCCATTCCCCTTCTTATCCAATTCCCATTCCCACTCCCACTCCCATTCCCATTCCCATCCCCACTCCCATTCCCATTCCCACTCCCATTCCCATTCCCCTTCTCATTCCCATCCCCATTCCCAGCCCCATCCCCATTCCCACAGGCCCCCTTGCTTCAGGCCTTTCTTTTTTCATAATAAAAGCTGAAATCACTTTAGCACCAGGACCCTGCTCTCGTTTTTATCCCTGGAATTCATTCCAGGTTCCCTGGGATTCAGCTGAAGTTGGTTTTCCTTCCGTGTGCAGGGAAAAGCGTTCGTGAAGGAGAGCCTGAAGTGCATCGCCAACGGGGTGACCTCCAAGGTGTTCCTGGCCATCCGCAGGTGCTCCACGTTCCAGAGGATGATCTCGGAGGTGCAGGAGGAGTGCTACAGCAAGCTGGACCTGTGCGGCATCGCCCGCCGCAACCCCGAGGCCATCACCGAGGTGGTGCAGCTCCCAAACCACTTCTCCAACCGGTACGGAGCGGGAAATCCTGGGCTGTGGAGGGGAAGAGAGGGGCAGGAACCACGGGAACGGGGGATAAACCTGTGCAGGGCCTGGGGCATCCCACCCGGGAAAGCCCCCAGCCCCTGCACTCCCTGCTCTGCTGCAGCAGCGCTCTCCTTGCTCTTTTGGGGAAATAAATGTATTTACCCTTTTGGGGAAAATACATTTCCCTTTTGGGGAAAATAGATTTCCCTTCTGGGGAAAATACATTTCTTTTCCTCTTTGGGAAAACACATTTGTTGTTCATTCTGGGAAATGCATTTATTTCCCCTTTTGGGAAAATACATTTCTTTTCCTTTGTGGAAAAACACACTTGTTGCTCATTTTGGGAAATGTACACATTTCCCTATCAGGGAAAATACATTTATTTCCCCTTTTGGGAAAATACACTTTTTCATTTTGGGAAATACATGT